GAAAGAGGCGGTCAGGCGTGGTGCTGGCTACTCACCAACTCGTGTGCCGTGCCGGCCTTCATAGGTGCTCGCTAACATCACTTGTCCCAACAGTCGGTCAAGGTTATACAGGGGGATCTTTGTCTTTGTTTTCCCCTCGTATGCCTATAATCCAGTTTTGCCTCGACATATAAACATGCTCAGTAATGAATTAGCTAAATTCCCAAAGAGGACCTCAAAGAGTCTTGAGAATCAACCAGGTTCCATGGATACGTTAAGAACGTTTACAATACCCATCATAAGGTTGTGATCATTGTTCTTGATAAAATATATCTGTCGGTTCCTTTGTTTTATAACAGGCATATTACATGACACATTGCAATGTAAACACTCCGTGCTCATGACACACGCTAATCGTATGTTTATTGCTTTGGAATCGCGGCCATAAGGCACTTACGTAACTCTGATGGAAAAAAAGCTGCCGCTATTCTTCTGTAATAATCTAGGTTTCCCTTTTAAGTTTTTGCCAGCAAGACATCAACGCACATTGGCTTGCGTGGGCGAAGCAAACGTGGCTGACACTTTCATTGTGATCTTGATCGTAAACAAGCTTTGCGTTGAGCACGTTCGTGCTACACTGCTGCTGCTGCTGCAACTTCTTTCAGGTATCTAACTTTTGGCCCTCGTTCTATTGGCTTTCATGAATTTAACAAAACACTTTGTCAACGTGATGAGTGTTCTTGTGAAGGTGTAGTGACATAAAATTGGCCACTACGTAGCATAGCGCTGGCTGCTGGCAGGGAAGGGGATCTGCAGCTTGTAGCAGCCCTGACTGACAGCAGGCCACGTGATAGACCCGAGAGGGATCTCGGGGAAAGGTTACGGAAGGGACACGTCGAGAGCCGCTAGTAGGTTCCAGAAGTGGGGCGTGGCCAGGCCACGGTGACAGTAAAAGAGGGGCCCGGGGAGGGGACCTCGGGGCTGTCGTTTGGAGTGGGATCCCTGTTGTCGTTGTTGTTGCTGCTGAAGATCGTCGCCATCGTCGCTGCTGTCTCCACTTGATAATAGCGCTGCTAGACGTAGCTGGCTGTCTCGGTTCAGCGCCGTCAGTGTCAGACGGCTAGCGTTGTGTGTAGGCTAGCAACCAGTGTAGAGTTGCGTGTAAGACAGAGGGTGTGTAACAGTGTAGGGTGTGTATTGTATAAAGTGTGCTCGGTTTAATTAAACAATTGCCTCCAAGAAGTTACGTCTCCAAGTCAGTCACTACAAAGGTATAAATGCAGCCATTTGTTTTTTCTTCCCTTAACCTAATCACAAAAAAGTGTGCACGTGTGAAAAGCATCCAAATTTGCCACCTGTGTAGACATCGAAATAATTAGTTGAAACAAATAATGAATATTAAAATATTTTCTGCCACAATGAGAATCTATACTCACACATACACTTGGGTTTTCATTGCAAATTTGGATTTTTAAAATAAAGCGTTTTAAGATCAAAATTGACCTGTTTCTACTTTAACAAATTGGGTAATTTGCAGCTTCCCAAATGTCATTCCCTTCAACTGCCACTGCTCATTGAATGTACAAGTAGCATCCTGGGGGAAATCCAACACTTGTGAATTGTTTTTCATAAAAATGCTGCTACTTGCATTATTAATTATTGTATTTAGTGTGTGATTGAACATCACTCATTTTATTAATAAAGTGATTGGGGAAACCCGGTGTTAGTATTTAAAACAGCAATATAACTTACATATATAACAGAGGCTTATCAGTGCATGCACCAGGATTCATGCACTGTCGGCAAATAACGTATTCTTCACAGGATGTGCGTTGCTGGAATAAACTCCACTGCTACAATACAACAGTGAAAACGTAGCACCGGACATAAATGCTCTTTTAGCTTTGATGCAGGCACATTTCAACCTGGGGGGGGGTGGTGAGTAGAGGGAACAGCTTGTGCAATGATACAAGTCCAGTGGAGGGCAAGGCTTAGTCGTAACCCCATTTCCACGACGACCCAAGACAATAAATCATCGTGAAGCAAGGAAAGACTGGAGGGGTGGTCAGGACCATTCGTAAGTCAGTTGTCAAAATCAGTCAGAAAATAGTCAACCTGACCACATCCTGAAGTGCAGATGTTACATAGTCTCTGTTGCTATTAACGGAATTGGGCTATTGTGTGCCAGGGCCATAGCCAAAACTCCACGTTTAGAAATGTATCGCGATTAAATTACTCAATTCAGCTGGGTTAGGTGTGACTTCATTCAATCATTGACGGTTCAATAAAATGACTGCCACAAAGTGGGAAGTCAACTATGATTGTAGAAGGGAAACTACTGGTGCTGCCATTGCTATATGGAATTATTATTCACTAATAATAGCTGCGCTGTTATTGAGAATAGGTTTTCCCCTTTTTTTCTGGCAACAAAATAGGTGTTAAGATATTAAAACGCCAAACTGAAACCTTTTACAAGGAATCATGTCTGCATTAACCACAATACTTGTGGTCAGAATGCAAACAAAAAACATACTCTTATAATATATGCATTGTCTTTGAACCTGATTGGTCCACACCATTACATAACACAACCCATTACTGATTTAGGCATGGAGAAATATTAACTTTGAAATTCACAAAAGCGTTCCGTTCACATATGTAAAAGATATCCGCATCTGAGTTTGCTCTCACCGAGCCACAAACAAAGAAAACGTAATTTTACATTGATGTTCTAGGACTTGCAGTCAACATTAATGCATTTATATGATTTGTCTTCTGGCATAACCACATCTTCAAGATCGCATCTGCAGGATCTTAAACTGAGCGCATCGCTTGTTGAATCTGCGAGCGCAGCTTGGCTTGCTGCAGTGGTACATGCAGATAAAATATACAATCTAATTATTTTGAACCCTCGAGTACCTTCAATTTCACTTGTTGAAGTTACAAGTTGGAAAATTTCCAGTGTTCAACAACAAAGAAGGTTCTGCTGATCAGCAAATACTTCAATAACATCTGCACTTCTGGATAAATGACTTTGAAACCCTCTGTGTGCCATTTGTTATAAAGAACATAAAGGATCAAATTTGCCGTATCGTTACTTAAAAAAAAATCACATTTTATTCAGACTTAGCATGCCTTTTAAGTGTCGGCCCTCTGTCAATGATGAATGTTATGTTACCGCTTTAAATCAGATCTCTCAAACTGCTTTAACCGACCGCTGCCCACGCTTACACACGGGCTTTACGAACGCTGTGCATCGAGGAACTCCTGGTCAAGCGTCAAATGAATGACCAAAGTCAACATCCAGTTCTCACGTTTAGTCAGTTGCTTTTCAATTGCCATACAGAAAAGAGAGAGAGATTGAGAATACGACGACATTATGTTTAATCCATGTCGCAAACCAGACTCGCTGTTGGGTGCACAACGATCAGCCCAGAGACCACACTAAGCACTGGTTTGTGGTCATTGCAGTTGAATATTCGGTTCTACTTTAAAAAAACATATTTTTACTTCTAACAATCATTCAAGTCAAATAGTTTTCATACTCAAGTGGTGAGCGAGCACTTGCTGTGTCTGCGCCCGCGGTTGTCGAATTCCCGACCGTTGGAAATTCGTTTATCCGTTAATGTGGTTACTTTTAAGTCTCGTTTTAAAACACATCTTAAGTCAATTTATTCTATGTAGCGCTCCTTCTCTCTTGGCCTTTCATTATCCTTATTCCTACAAGGCGCCTTGAGACATTAGTGGAAGACGCCGTACAAATAAATGTAAATCATTATGATTATTTCCTCTACTGACAGCTCCGAGTCTAGTGATGGACTTTCTCCGCAATTCAACGGTGGAGGTCATCCTCTCCGTAGGATGGGACACTGTCGACTTCTCTCCAAGTGGCACTCATTTTGTCAACCCCAGGGAGACGATAAACCAAGTCAACCCCCAATCAGGTTTTGCAAATTGTGATTCGAATTGCTCTGAACACAGTGCCACTTGTCCAGATGTGTGTGCATGTATTAAATTATATAAGAATATAGACACAGGCTGCCTATATAGAGGAAAAGGAAAAGTCAAACATATAGCAGAGACTAAGACATCTGGCCAGCATAGAGGAGTAGGCCAAGATACCATGTAGAGCGGCTCTCTGAAGTTCTCTCTCGTGGAGGTTCTGCTGACACCAGAGACATAAGTGGGAAATTATTTGGGCTGCATGTTTACTTGTTTTTTGTTACCTTTTCTCGTGGGAACTAGAAGAAGACGATGGAGATTGTAACTGCAATAATGAGCTCACGCCGGAGGTGTTTCCTAATGAGCCAGCTCAGGACTGCGCCACGCATGCTCGAGGGCGTCATCGTTCGCGGACGCGCGCCGGGCCTGCCGAGACGAGAGGAGGCGCACGAGTTTCTGCATTTCGAGAGCCATGGAACGGCTGACTGAAAATATGCACGGCACATTCTGCAGGCCTCCTCTGCCTGTGGCATCTCTCCAAGGCGAACGCGAAATCAAACAGAAGAAACCACGGCCAGCCTAATCCAGGGGATGTGGCAGCGTTACGAGGGGGTAATCCAAAGGGTCTAGTGCTGATTGAGAATGACAAGGCGATGTTTTGCAAGCGCAGATGGCTCGTGCAGTCGTGGCTGGAGGGCTGGGCAAGCCTCAACACACACACATACACTCCTTGCAAATTCCGCAGCAGGTCACGCGAGAAACTTTTGCCATTTGGCAGCAATAAGGTGGTGGTCTCTGAGCACCTACATGGGATGATGGGTGTTGTTTCTGCTCAGCCATGCTTTAAAGTAGAGCTACTTTTATTCGGTGAACTTTGGCTAACTTGAAATGTGTGCGATAGGCCTGCCTGCGATACGTGATTGCGGCAAGGCCCTGTTTTCAAGAGGGGCTCCGAATTATGAACACGGCACCGATCCCATTCCGTGGAGAGCAGACCGCGGACCGGAGCATCCGCGGAACGGCATGCGATGAGCGTCGTTTCTCTCTCGCACTTCTCCCACCCCCCCGCCCACCAAAAGGCTGCCCGGTGGTGTGCCACCCGTTCCTCCCGGTCACTTGGCTGCTCGGCGGGCAGCCGGTCGCGGCGGAGAGGGACGCCGACGGCCCCGAATTTGCGGGGGGCGGCCGTCTGCTGGTGCTGCCGCCCGCGAACGCCGGCCCACCGGGGCACTACTCCTGCTCGCCGTCGCACGCCCACGGCAACGCCTCGACCTCCTCGACCTCTTCCTTCACCTCCGGCGGACGCCTCAGCGCGAACGTCACCGTGCAGCCCGCAGGTCTGTGAACGCCGCGCCCGGAAGCGTCGACCCGTTATAAAAAAGTCAACGCTGGGAAGAACAAAAACGATAGCCCAACGCGTTTGGACTTTCCATTCTGGAGCACATCACATTCCTCCTGAATGGACATCGGCTCTCTTGTGCCCTCACCGTGACAGGTGGTGCTAAAGATGACCCGAAGCATTACCACCCTCTCCCAATCCTTTCCCCTCTCATCAAGATCTTTGAGATCTTAAAATGACAACAACAACATCTACACTGGAGAGTGCTCATCTCTATTATTGGTGGCCCTGTTGCAAGGTTAGGGGCCTCACTTTGAGTAGGGCACCCACTGTTTTGCTTGCCCGCAAAGTGGCACTCGTTTTATGAAACTCCGATTAGCACGGTTGACTACATATGGTGCAAAAGAGGTTCAACATAGATACGTATATCACCTCTCTACTCTTCCACACATGACCAGATTGACTTGGATGAGATCGGAGTATTCACACTTTCGACCCACCACATATGAACTACCGATGGGCTACCTGTGGTGCTCTCACTTGTGCTGCTGGGTGGACAGAGGTGAGGAGTATTTTAGAATATTGCCCCATTGTTTCAACTGCCTTGCCAAGAGATCAAACTTGCGAACTCTAGACGTATACCTTTCTATTCTTACACATTTAAAAGCAATAATCGTAGCCTAAAAGTGGGCCATTGACTATGTAGAAAACTCAACATTTTTTAAGTGGATTTGGTATTGTACCACTGGCTATTTTAAAACCCCAGAAAATCCAATTATTAGAGAAGAGTTTAACTTGGCTGGGAATGGGTATTGATGTTGGCTTGCAGTTGACAAACCTGCCTTTTCCCCGTGGCTTGCATAATCAGAAATAAAACTGCATAGGAACATTAACGAGAGGCAGCCAATTCATCATCATCTCCTGAGCATGTGTGTAAAATATTAAAATCAATAATTACCGCACCATGTCTATTTAGGCATCGCGTGATTGCGATGACAATTTACAAGTGAAGATTTAATTATCCGTGAAGCCAATCGACTCGATTTGAGGCGACCTGTGTAACGCTGTTTCAGCACAGAGCACATGCAAGCAGTTTTAAAAAGTTGACGTTCTCTAAGAATTCCCGCATTGAATACGTTCACGATGCATATGCGTGTTGATATGTGTTCACTTACACATCAACACCAGGCTCTTGTGCCATGTACTCTGGAGAATGCAGTGAAGCTTTGCCATTTAAATATGTTGAGGCTGCATGTATGCTCAGACTTTCCACTACCATCATCATCATCACATCGACCAATATTTCACATGTTCCTAACAAGTGACTCAGAGCGAGACACAGCAGCAGCAGGCCCGACTTGGGTGGATACACGGGGTCTCAGCGGCGCTGGTTCAGTCAACGTGCTGTTTTTAACATGTGCAAAGGGAGTGTACAGTATTAATTTTCGTTATGCTTTGAGACAGATGTAAAGCATGTCTTGTAACTAGGGGTTGAATGATTCAACTGCTCCGCCGTTTGGGAGAATTTTCACGATTCAGGAGCACAATGCGATCCAAGAATCGATACTTTTTGTTTTTACATTACAGGGAAAGGTAGTACTTCACCTCCAATACCTGCGGGGGTGATGCGAACCTATTACTTACAGCACATGCGAATCTGAAAGCGTTGATTCCTGTGCACTCTGCTATGTGATGCATGCGTATATTGTAACCTTTTGGAGTCATCAACGTTAAGAGAAGACTCAATGAATTGTTCCACTCCTGATTATAATCAATCATAGCAGATAGTGTAAGGATTAATACTCGGGAGGTATTAGTAATTACTGATTGTCTAGGCAACACAATCGCGAGAAGCATTCCATAAATAATAACCAAAAAAAATACTCGGCAACAGAAAGTGGTGTGAATCTGTACAAGTGCTGGCTTTATATTTAACTATCAAGTTCAATACGTCTGCCAAATCTGTAGACCTTAACAGAACCGTGTTTTACGGCACACGGTGTTGTGAATCAATTCAGATTTCGTCGCACAAAATTGAAAGCAGCTGAGTGGTCGCCATGTTGGATAAAAGTGCCCGTTGTGCAACATCGGCGCTCTCACTGTGAAATCGAATAAATACGGCGGTTCAAATTAAGCTGAAGATGCTCAACGTGCCGTCAAGTGATGCCTCATTGAACACAGGACCAGCCTCTCCCAGCCAATGTTTGAGTCACAGGAAACTGGAAATTGTCTGTCCATGAGGTCTTTGAAAAGCTTTTGTTCTTTTTTTGTAATGCCCCATGTGGTTTTCTGAAATAATAGTCTATGATACCAATAAAATATATATGTACATGCGTTTGCCAGTTTTTCGGAATTGTAAAGCAACATTGATTTTTAACTGTGCAATGTGAAGAAAAAACTATTGTTAAATAAATAACACATGAATTAAAAACATGCTTTTTGTTACCATCACTGAGCGGTAACACACAATTTAACGTTTTGGCCGACTGACCTGTACAAGAGAAAAAAAACGGTACAATATTTAAAATAAATCAGTCTATGCACAAGTTAGAATATTACTAATTTGGTAAAACAGTAGGGCTGTCATTTCAGAAGCTCTGCGTTCAAATCCTAGCCACCATCATCATGACCAAGATGTTGATGTCATCACCACCATCATCAGGATGGTGATGATATCAACATCTTGATCATGTCATCACCACCATCATCAGGATGGTGATGATGATGACATCATCATGATCAAGATGTTGGGTGGTGCAGTGGTAATGATTCCCGACTCGTGCCTTTTGTGAACGTATCATGTAACTCGTATTGGCCAAAACACCCCAATGCTGAAAATTTGCCGGCAAATAATAATGATTCAATAGAAATCACATATAGCAACAGCATCGCCCCCCTACTGCGTAAATAAACACTCGGAAGCCTCCTCAAAAGGAGTCTTGAGACGCAGTGAGGGTCTCCTGGGCAAACAGGCATCGTCGTAAAAATGAGGAGAATGAGGCGGCGTGTTTGGTGGGAGGTCAGGAGCGTTTGTCGGATGGAGAGACTTGCTCCTGTCAGAGACAAAACTGGAAATCGTTCACAGGCTCAGAGCTCGTTTTTGCAATGGGACACTTTGATGTTGGTGCGCCGAATCACATTGAAACAAACAACAATTCAAAAGTGAATATTATATTCATCGACATGGTGTTATCATTATATCCATCTGGGTGTCTTTGTGGCAGTGTGTTAGAGGAAGGTGATGAGTTTAAGTCTCTGCCAAGGCTTGACCCAGACCAACATCCCTCTGAAATCAATAAAACGCATAATATTTTGGGAGAAAACAAAAGAGTGGTTTTCCTTTGGCACAACGGTCCCTTTCCATAGGAGTGTGGCATTTTGACCGCTCGCCTGAGGGCCGCCAACTGCGACGTTGCTCGTTTTCACAAGAGAGCACCCCCTTGACCTCGCCTTCGCCGAATGCGACACGACGCAAACGGCGCGACACACGACGCAACGGCGAGGTGCGTTGGCCGCTGACGTCGTCGCCGCCGTCACCGACCTGCAAACGTTTTTTTGTTACGCAGAGCACCGGTGGTTCGTGAACGACACGGGCAGCTGCCCCACGAGCTGTGGGAACGCGAGCGCGCGCGTCGCACCCGCGCCGCGGTGCGTGCGCGACAACGTCACGGTCGTGAGCGACACCTTCTGCAGCCTCCTGCCCAGGCCGCAGCCGCCGACCAACTCCCCGTGCCCAGCCGTCGGCTGTCAGCCATGGTGAGCTCCTTCTTGGCCGCCCACGGGAAGGAAGGAAAAAAAAGGGAGAAAAACATGCGCAGCCCGGGTCCAAGCGAGCCGTCGTAGCCGTCTGGCAAAATGCGTTGTGGTGCTTTTATTTTGTGTTGACGTTGTGTTTATAATCTGTGGATGGATGATGTTGTGGGATATATGCCAGTGCAATTGGGCAAGGTGGAATTGTGGCAGTGTTTGATTTATATGCAGAAGGTCACAAGTTAAGTTTGGAGTAAGAAGTCAACTCGGTCGAATTCCCACTGCTGATTCAGGGCCCCTAGCAGAGGCAAGCACTTGAGAACGGTGACTTGACAATGATGCAAGTTCCAGGGCTACAATGTGGTAGGCAGTGCTACATCACCTTTGTGGTGATGTAGGCTCTTCACTAAGATTCCCATAGCCACCCACTTCTCTTCTCTCATTACGGATGCCAACAGAAGGCAAGCTTAAACATAATCACGTTTTCCCTTTTGAGAGTAAATAGTTTGGCAACCTACTATATGAAGTGAGGTGCCATACTATATCACACAAGTGTAAGTTATAGAACCCTCTTCTGTGCGTTCGAGATCATAAAATGCCGTTAACAAGCACGATCTGATCCTTTTCTGTCAACGCGGAACGATCAGCTGCAAGTGCTGCGTAATCAAAACCAAACGCACAACAGCGTTGGCCCCGCCATGAATTCCCAGCAGTGCAATACTGTGTCATCATAAAGTCATCCAGAGTGGTTTGATTAAACCATTGAGTGTTGCTTTAGAACCGGCCGAGTGGCGCTCAAGATGAATATATCGTTCTTGCGGGGGGGGGGGGGGGGGGGCTGTGAAATAATAAGAGGCAAATTTCACAACAAATGTTTGAGTGCAGAAACCGAAAAACATTTGCTTCAAAGGTTGATTAATCGCTCACGCGGGTGCAGTAAATTCAACGTGGTGTAAAGGCCACACGTTGAAAAAGCGCGAGTATAAAACGTGCCAAACAATAAAAATCACAATCAAATGTAACAGGCCAACGTTTGCGCAATAGCATTTTCAATTCAAGCATGTTTTAATGGCTAAATTGATATATGTTTTATGTTGTGTAGCAGTCAGGTGCGGGCACAATCTTAGTTTCTCATCACTTTTATCCGTAATGTCCTATTCGCGAGATTCACCGTGAAATGAAATGTGATTTTCCTTTATGGGCAAGTCGACGATACGCCGTAGGCAAATTTCCAGCATCGTAACCTCTGCCTTGTTAAAGTGTCCAGGAACAACAACAAAATTACCATATTTTTCCATTAATACTGCATTATGGCAATAAAAATATCTAAGAATCGTATGCGTTGGGTAACGGCCCTTCTTTGGAGGAGAAAGAGAGAGTTCGTAGAGATTAACTTACAGCTAAAGATCCCACTCTCCACTGTGGGGCCCCTGAGAAAAACAACCTCAGCTCAGTGTGTGCTTTGTATCGTAAAAACAATCGCTCATAGTCGGAAGGCTTTGACGTGGTCAACAAAACCAAACTTATTTGATGCCTCTTTAGCCAGATTAGTAATATCAATACCATCTACATCGTTGTCTTTATGTTCACCGTGACGATAGTTATCATTTTTCGATTTAAAGCTTTCGTGACTGCAGGGATTCATCTTCTTGGTTCTTTCGGTAAAGTCACGTAGAATGGAAATAATAAAATAATAAAAATAAAACATAATAAAATAATTCTCACGACGTTTTGGCCACAACGCAAAAAAAACGAACTAAAAAGCACTCCACTTAAGAATAATTAACATGACGATAATGCCTAAAACGCCTCAAATATGTTACATTCAATTGTCTTGCGATAAACAAGGGAACATTATAGTAGGTTTTTTTTTAAAGCGCAGCTACAGAATCACTCAGGATTACTGGGTAAATCAACAAGAAAATCGAAGCGGTTTAAATAGAACCACGGTCAGACATTCCCCCGGCGTGTCCTGTCTCGAGAGACTTTGACTTTTAAACAAATTTTATTGCCGCCAGCAGCAAAAGTACTGGAGGCGATTTCAATATGAAATACAGTCAACAGCAAACAAAAGAAAACAAACGTTACAAATCGACGCGCTATGGCGCTGAAAGCACCTCGCACAATACAAAAGAAAAGTCACGTGGTGGTTGTGGTGTCATCGCGCACGCCACGGTGACGAGCGAGCGCTTCAGAAGGTGAACACGAGGGTGCCGTCCACGCTGGTACAGAGAGGGGCCTTTCCGGCTCCCCAGCGTTCTAAGAAGACGTGCACATCACCGACATGTGTGTGGTATGCGTGCTCCAGCCGGAGCCGTGCCTTAAGCAGGCCTCTGAACACTGGAAGCACAGAGCAGCCGTCAGTGTCACCCTCCAGCATCTTTTGTCTCGAGAGAGAGACAACTCCTGAACACGGCCACGGTCCCTGCGCATGCAGGTGGGTGACGGGGCCCTGGTCTGCCTGCTCCGAGGCATGTGGCGCAGGCGTGCGGGTGCGCAGCGTCGTCTGCCGCTCGCCGGCTGGAGCCACCGCCCTGCCCGACTCCAGCTGCAGAGGGGCGGAGCGCCCGGCACGAGCCGAGCCCTGCAAGCGCCACGGATGCCCCGAGTGGGCCGTCGGAGCCTGGGCAGAGGTGGGGATGGTGGGGTGGTGGTGGTGGGAAACAACCGGGCGTGGTGCTGCTGCCCCCCCCCTCTCCTACCTACCTCCCCCCAGTGCCGGATGAAGTTCGTGCGGGACCTGTAGCATTATGTTATGAAGGGGGCCTTAAGTAATAAAAAACACAAATATTAAAACACATTTTTTTATAGTAAAGTAATTGTATTTTTTCATTTGCTACACAGCCAAATAATGTGACAAATCGCTAATCTTAAACACCCAGTCGTTCATAATAGTTGAAGGCGGTATAGTGCTATAGTAATAGAGCAAGTGTATAATCACTGAACCGGAATTGATAGCTTGAAAGCATTTTAGCGCGGGGACCTTGAAAGTGCGGGGCCCGTAGCTACATGTGTAGCCACTTTTGCTATGAGGATCATCCGGCACTGCCCCCTCATCTCTCTCTCTGTCCACTCACCGCTCCAGTGCACGAGGAATTGGCATCGTCATTGTTTGTAATCGTAATTGTCGTGATCGTCATTCATCATAATTATTGTTGTTCTTATTGGAACATTCATCACTACGATGGCTCAATTGCATCGTCATCTTTATGATGATGCTGATGTTATTATGAATGTCATGATACATTTCATCATCAGTGTTGTCTTTATGTTCATCATAACAATCATTATTTTTACTCGCAGCCTGATACACCACCATCACGCGTCGGGCAGGCACTGCACACGTGCACAAGCTCCCCCCCCCCCCCCCCCCCCCCCCCGACATCACAAAAGAATACAGATGGTTATCTATCAGCTTAACTCATGCTAAGCCCGTGCACGACCATCCACACTGCTTGCTCCCCCCCTTAACACCCGATATAAACACGTTGTCTCTTAATAACTCTCTTCACACGCCTCCGTAATTTTGCTGGAGCAGTCAACACCTGATAACGGTTGCTTGTGTTGCTTCCGAAACGTCGTGATTTAATTTATTTGTTTTCATTTTTAATTTATTTTTTTAAAAATACCTACGTGACTTTACCGAAAAAACCCAAGCGTATGGATACTTGCAGTCACGAAAACTTCAAATCTAGAATTAGAATGATCATCCAGGCAGGGGGGAGTGTTGGCACAGTGGTTTACCGTACTGCGCTCGGAGCTCGGAAACCTGCGTTAGATTCCCATCAGAGGCCAACATGAATGGCGAGTGGTCGATGGACCACTCGCGTGCCCCCCTTCACCAAGCTGCATTCAGCAGTGTCGTGAACTCTGGACAAACATTCTCCACGACTGGCAGAGGTGGCGAAACCTTCCTCGTGTGGTGGATTGACAAAGAATGTAAAAATGTACGTTACATTAGATGTTTAATATTATTGTTGGGATCATGGTAGTTGTTTTCATGATCACTGAAATCGTACTTATCATTATCTTTAGTAAAGATTCTTTACTATATATATTATCATCTGTAACAACACAACAAAATTGTATCCATGAGATTTTCGCTGACGTCTGTCTGGTCAATGTGGGTGTGTGTGCAGTAAGCGATAGTGTAGTGGTTAGCGCGCTGCACTACGAACCTGGCGACCCAGGTTCGATTCCCACTCATGGCCAACACCAGTGACGATTATTTGAACCGGTCCTGGGCCTCCCCTAGGTCGACTCAGCCTCAAATTAATACCTGGTGTGGAGTGTAAACATTAGCAGTGGGGAGACAAAGGTGGCCGGGCATGGTGCTGGCCACCTACCACCTTGCGTGCTGCGTTGGCCTTAATAGGTGCTCGCTAACACAACCTGTCCCAACAGTCTGTTAAAGGCTTTACGGGGGGGGTATGTTATTTTCTTTGTGCATTCAGTGTACAGGCCGGTGCGTTGGACTTGGCATCGGAACTCAGCATCGGAGAGTCCTCTGCTTCCTGCACAATGGCACAGCTGCTCCTGAGAGCGACTGTGCCGGCAAGACAAGGTGAGATCGCTTTCCGTGACTTCGTAAACCTTGGAGCGTGACTTATGACTCCAGTTTAAAAGCGCTCCATATATCGCAACAGGTTTCCCATCGTAACTTTCAATCTAAAGGTTGGCCATGATGTGCCTTAAAGTTTTCCCTATTTTCTCGTATTTTTTTAACGTGTTCTTAACTTTTTGATGTTCCCAGCACGGCAGTAAAATCAATGGTCAAGTGGGTTTTTTTTATCTCCCTGCTTTTGTCTACCAGCAGCATAAATAGGCAAACCACAGTCGATCTGCAGGTTGCCGGTGGTAGAATAAAAGTATGGGTACTCCACAAGATGCGCTGACCGGCATGGAAGAATAGCCCAAATACTCTCTCGAGATGCTCTCTATGGCCCTTTCAAGTGGGGGCCCTGCCGCCAGCAGTGGACGTGAGCCATGCGCTGCCAGGCCGCACCCTCACCTGCACGTGCGCGTCAATCTCTGCCGCACGCAGGCCCGGCTCGGTGCAGAACTGCAGCGTGGAGGCGTGCGCCGTGCAGTGGCGGACGGGCCCCTGGGCCGTGTGCACGGCGAGCTGCGGCACGCACGGCTTCCAGGCGCGGCGCGTGGAGTGTGCCCATGTGCGCACGGCGCGCGTCGCCCCCGACGCGCACTGCGCGTGGCAGCACAAGCCCGCGACGTGGCAGCGCTGCAACATCACGCCCTGCGCCACGAGTGAGCGGCGAACGAGCGCGCTCGCACCCGCGTGCGTGCGCGAGCTTTGCTAGGCAGGTAACATCTCGCCATGGTGGTGAGATGTTAACTACCTCGCCTGGTATACAGGAGATCGTGGGTTCGATCCCGACCCTGACTCGTGTATATTTGGAGTTTGTTTGTCTCTCCCCGCATGGTCACGTGGACTTTTCTCCGGATCTTCTGGTTTTTCCCTCCACATTTAGAAACATGCCTTTAGATTATTTAGCTGCTATACATTTCCACGTGATAAGCCACTTTGTTGAGCTATCATTTGTGGCCAGGTCGCTTCTGAAAAAAATAGTTTATAGTTTAGTTGAGAGTGCTCAATCCTTCTTGGGTCACCTTGTTGTCGTGGGCTGTTAAATGTTCTTGTAGTTGTCCGCCTGCCGTATTTGTGAATTGAGGGCCCTCTCTCATGCACTGCTCTACGGGTACGTCGACAGTCATCGTACCGTGGATGTGCTGGCTCCTGCGACAAGGATGTGGAATTTCGGTAAACTAATTCAGAGCCGCCACTGCAGCCCTTCTAAGCAGCGGCAGAGTGCAGCTTTACCCTTGTGAATGTTTTCTGCCATGAGTGGAACTGCACCATTAGCGACTGTGTGGATTTGTTGACTTTTAATGGAAGTCAGAGATGGAGGTTTAATTTTATTTTTTTATTTCATATTTCAGAATAAGTTTTCTGTCAACGGGATGATGGATTTCAGAAGAGGAATTTGCAAAGGAAGCTTGCTATGTCTCCCTCCTGTCTGAGCAGACCGTGCAATAATGTATGCAATAGTCGTCTCTTAGCCTTTACGTAACATTTTGGTGCACTAGTAATGTCAGTGTCCATCAGTCTTGCACTTATTGTAACTCATTGTGTTTTCTCGCGACGCGATTGAGTGCTCCTGATAGAGTACTTGTGTTGTCTCATCATCGGACGACGGGACGTGGTTGGTTATTGGTAATAGTGCTCGACTCGCTATCAGAAGGCCACGCATTCAAGTGCCGGTCATTGGTCAAAACAATGAACAGTGGCTGGCATATTTATAGTAAAACTTCCACCGCTTGCTTAGGGCCACAAATGGAGGTAAACTCCACCACACGTTTCCTTACGTTTGTATTCCTCAAAAGGATCATAATCTATTGCTATCGCTCACCTCATCTCCCCGAACAGGGAATTAAAGACTCGCCTGCTTTACTCAATAAACATAATCATCACAATAATAATGATAATTGTTGTTTGTGTTTTTAGCCTCGGAGTGCCGGGACAGCAGCCGGTACTGTGAGATGGTGCAAAAGCTGAACCTCTGCCAACTGCCCACCTACCGCCTGCGTTGCTGCCAGGCTTGCAGAGAATCCTAGGCCTGCGCACCTCCTGCGGATGGCCTGCTCGTTCAAACGGCTCTGCTTGCCCCTGTGCGCCCCTACCATTCAGCCAGCGTTCTTAAGAAGTCCATGCACAAGTTGAGGCAACCACTGAAAATAATCGAACTTTTTTTGATGAAAATACCTTTATTTTTTCCTCTCTCTCTCCAAAAACTATTCTTTTTTTACTGACCACTGTACATGTCTTCAAGATTTTGTTTTTATATTTAAAGATACAGAAGGAAATTGGAGTTGCGGAAGATGTGTCAGAATATGGAAACCTTTCAAGAAATGGTTTCCAAGAAACTGCCAAGCAAATGTAAATCTTTTAACATGACTAAAAAAACTTACCAAGAACCATAGCCATTTTTCTTTTGCAAGGAAAAGATGAATGAGTGGATGTTTTAAAACAACGTAATGCTATTCTGCTCATGGCTTCATGTCCTCAAAACATCACAATCTTCTAAGCAGCGGAAAAGCAAGGAAACATCCAGCTTCCTCTAACTGCAGATGAACCCAAAATCGTTCTCTTAATCACAGGAATGTACTCATTTACTCAAGATCCTTCCAACACTCTTGTGATGTGTGAGTCTTTTTCTGGCTCATGAGATCTGTCAACACAAAACCTAATAAGAGCAAAACAATAAAAGCATGACTACCTTTGAGACTTGCCAGGGTAGTCTGACTGCCAATAACGTGTATCATGCCTTGATCTTATGAAACGAGTTTTTTTTGGGTGAACTTTCTGGCAAACTTGGGAGTAAAAACACACAGACACAAGTGGCCAAAGCAATATTAACAAAAATCCAACCAAAAATTTGTAACGTTCATCACCGAATTTGATTAATACAAGCAATGAATGCTAAGGCACTTAAACCCTCCCTAACAGTTCAAGAGCATAGTCATTACCACCAGTTATCAAGGTACAATATAGAAATGTACCATTAAAAAATGTAACGTGTTTTTATGTCAGCACTTATACAGCATCACACTTTTAACATGTTTTTGTATGAAGATTGAGACTTGCCTAATATGCATTAATGAATTGTAGAATTTCGCCAATGCGCTTTGGAATTTAGCAAGTAACTTCTATTTTATTGGGTGTCTATCTATCACAGTGGTAATTGGTACAAGACAACAGCTAATTAAGAGCTGGCAACATTAATTATGTGAGCTCCTATCAATAGCTTTGGAATCTTTCACAATTCCTAATTGTAAATGGCCTTTAACCATTTTCCTTAAGGATTGCAATTTTCTGGCCTAAATTTCTCGACAACTTTAAAAGTAAACTACTTTTTTACGAAGCACATTTGGTATATTGAGCAGATACAGACGTTCACTAGTTTTATTAAATTAGTGTTAATCAAACACGACAACTATTGTTATTTTAAAATGTATGAGCTATTTTGGTGTCATCATTAACTTCTGCTTCCTACCTCCATAAAACACATTGCTTAACAAGATAGTTGAAGTCTACACAATGTGGTGATTTCTTTTTTTTTAATGTCGTGACCAAGTGAGACTACGCCTGCTATGTGACATTTAATATTCTGTTTACCACGAATGATACAGCACTCATATTTTGGACATTTCAATGGGGGGTGTCTCCAACTTTGTTTAAGGTGCGTCCACACCTGAGTGATCTATCGTGCAACCAAATCCCTCTCTCGCAAAATGGCACAACCTAATTGCCCGCAACAGCTTTGTCCGCATCTGAGCAAAAAGGTGATAAGAGTGCCAAGGATGGTTGCCCGAGCGTGCCTCGTGCGCGTCTGACCACGCTCCCTCCTACGTCACTACTCGCACATTGTTCCGGTCAGCTCCTCCCCTCCACGTCATGAGTGTAACGACCAATCAGAGTGACCGAACATAGTTCGCAAATGTAACCTGGTGAACTCTCGCCACTACTTAAAACAATATAACTCAACGGCCCCGCGGCCTTCTGGAAGTGCATAAGTGTCAGCAGTGTCGGTTCGATTGCAAGGCACACTCTGCAAATTAAATCAGCGTTGCTAAAATTACGTACTCCCAGGATGTTATTGTGTTACTTATATCCTCCACAATAATGCGCAATGATGCTGATGATGATTTCGTGTTATGTCACTATAAATCACTGAGCCGATCGCTTGGAAGTAGCGTCTACTGTAAGCAACTTATGATGCAACTGCTCGCAACTGACAACAGAGATGTCCACACGTAAATCTCTTCCGTTGCAAGCAACCAAGGTGCACGACAGATCCCGAAGGTGTGGACACAGCTTTAGACCTGCTTGTAGGATGGCTGTAACATTTTCAATAGTGCCCGTTGCCTTGTTTCAGCACGATGTGTTTACGCAGCGGCGGTGAACGCTGAATATCTCGTCGGATGAATGTGGTTATTGAGTGGGGATTGGACGGTTTGTTTCACCTGTGGTTATTTTTTTTTCCATCGTCGATGCAGCCGTACACTGGTAGCTATTCATAGCTACTCGCGATTCCCATCAGGGCACCTGGCTTCCCCCAGCCTGCTACCCATAATCCTCACTGGGGTTTTTTTCATGTGCATCTGGAAAAGGTACAAAGGAGAGAGCCATCCAATGGAGAATTTAAGTAAGAAAAAGTTGTTACTAAATACAGGTAGAGCCAAGGGAAGTCGTGAAGCTCTTTGTACACTCTTTATTCTTCCTTTTTCTATCGGTACTGTCTTTTCGTTGTTGCTTATTTCCAAGTAAAAATCTCACATTAACACGTAAAAATGTATCTCATTCTACACGCATGGCGCCCAATTGCTCCCATTGGCCTTGCAAATGCAATGTGCAGTGATCATCCGCAATTCCCAAACGTAGTTTTTACAAGTTTCAGAGCCAATGGTAATTGATCATCTTGTCCAATTGCAAAAATATCGTCGGCTTTGATCGGCACGAGAGAGAGCGCCGGCTTTCAACTTGGCGTGGTCTTCCACCCATCCATCCCCTCGACAGACTACGAGTCATAATCTGTTAGGAGAGTTTTGTCAAGGATTTCGTCGCACGATAATCAGGGGAGATAGACGCGTTTGTTCTGGCGTTTCACGCTCTAAAATTCAGTTTCGCTGTTAATTACACTTTACCTTTCAAGGGGAGCTGCACTGTTATAATCAGTTTCCTATTTCTCTCTTCCCTTCCTCTCTCTACGGGGTTCTTCTCGTGTTAATAAAGAGCGGATTATAGTTCCTGTGATGATGAGTAATGAGGCGTATGGGTAGCGGGCGGAGAAAGTGCGGTGCCTAATCGGAGTGCGTAGAACTCGCTCTCTCCGCATCGCATTCCGTGGCACTGAGAGGGAATTGCGGACTGCCTCGTCTACTGTCAAAGTGCGTTTTGATTACCCATGGTGCTTCATAGTTGCACAGTAATTCTGGATAATTAAAGTTACATAGGTTTAGTTTCTAATGTGATAGGTCAACTCCGTGTGTGTCTATTATTTAAGTTAACAATTTACGTAAAAAACAATGAATAATTAAAATGTTATTGTTTTAATGCTATTAATCTCTGAAATGTAAAGTGCAGTATTAGACGAGGGGTTTAAATAAATCCTACTATCAAAATAAGAGGCGAGATTTCTACCTTCACCCACTTGACTTGTTCTGGCCAGGTTTTGCATGGCTTTCTGTTTGTGTCGTGTTATGCATGCATTGAACTTAACAGCTTCGGAGGTGGCTGACTGGTTCCAAGATAAATCCCCGTTTCAAAAGTTGAGTTTTAGCAACAAATGTATCAAGTATAGCAAGTTAATCATCTCATCCTGTACGTCTGTGAGTTGCAAGAGGAAAGCTGCTTTGTCTCACGCTATGAAGCCGTGGTAAAATTGGAATTGTACTTTAACTGGCGATTTAAAGAAAGCATTTAGATGCTGAGAATATATCTGCATCAAACATGCATTCGTATGTCGGTTTGATGTACAATATCAGTAGATACATCTCTAAATCTGACTGTAAATCTCAGAGGCAATTCATGCAGATAGATCTGGAGGTAACGTTGAGCCCTCTGTATGGTGATGAAAATGGAAATTGGTGTGCCGTATATCTCATTCACCAACTACACTCCAAAAATGGTTATTTTGAGCTAACAGCGGATTGAATGTAAAATTACAATTCTAACCTGAACCGTGCCCATGATTCACTGTTATTTTGGCATCTGCAAAAATAACGTTGTTGACCAGATGAGGCTGCAGTGTCACGATGCTTACTTCTGTTAGACCTTACTGCACATTTTTTGCAGGACATTTACTTTTACACACTGTCATTACTTTATCATAGATTGCCTCCACCATATTTGTTCTGCATTTCAAAACAAAATGCGTGTACATTTGCTTTGACATGGAAAAAATTATTTCCTTGCAATGGGTCATAATTATGGAGTTTATATATTAATTTATAGGATGACTTGTAAAATATATTGTATTCCTGTAAATATTTATAAGGAACTTTTATAAAGTGCAATATGGTGTAATTCTACGTTGTTTTTGTAAAGGATTGATTTTTTTTTGTTGTTGGAGGGAAGGGGAGGGAAATGGGATTTATTTTATTAATATTTTTTTAATCAAAGTATCACAATAGTGCCTAAAGTATGGTATTTCTTAACATGCAAAATGTATGAATTATTGCTTTGGAAACTAGTTAGCACAGAATTGCTTTTGTAAGGATTGTAATAAACGATGGAATGGCAAAATAATAAACATTCCGGATCAAACATTTTGTTGATTCTCATTTTACTTTGGATAAAAACGTGTTTTTCATTTTCAAGGAAGTTAATGTCATTGAGATGAACTGTTAATTTTATCAAAAACATCTGGACTTCCATCACTATGTTTCAATAATTTATATCCTTTACTTAACCAAGAAAGTGCCCATTGCGATGCAATGCCATTTACCAGAAGATGTGAATATCCACATTTAAATAAAGACGGTTATTATCACTGTAATGTACCAATCTGTAGCCAAAATAAAGTTACAGTCCCATCTTTATATAATTTTTCTCTAACACATTGTAGTGGTTAACTATTAAAACACTGGAATAAGTGCAATGCATGTCAATCTTTTTTGACTGACACTCAGATGTAAGGGCTCTCTAATGCTTCCCTATAGCAGAGGCCCTGCCTCTAGCAATGGCACATGCAGCAATTTTACATTTACTCACTGATGTTCTCATCATCAATAGCCATCTAATCGCAGAGTTAACTGTAATGACCACACTAGACAAACACACTAATCATGTATGTTTTATTGACAACACGTATTTTTTACAGAAAACCCATTACAGCATGAACTCTGGCTTAATAATTGCATTTTATATTTTGAGCCTGACTTTCAGATTTCCACTGCATTTTCCATTAGCATCTTATCAGCTGTGTTGTCACAATTTCTGCATATACTTACACACATCACCACTGGATAATTACAAGTTAAAACATCTCTGTAGCAAAACCACACATGAATTAATAATCTGTATCCCCTAGGCACTAAATTACTCCTTTAGAACATCCCTGGAATAATATCCAAAAATAGTTATTTGTTGACTAAATATAAATTCGTACCAGAGTAAATTGGCAACATAAAACATATTCTGGCAAAAAATTGTCTGCAAGCCAGTTAGGCAAGAGACATCAGCTCTTTGGGCTGAGTTTCCAGCAGCCCATTGGTGAATGGCTTCTCTATGCCGTTTAGCTTAGGCACCGCAGCAATCTGCATCTTGTGCGCGTCGGAGAGACGGCGGAAGTAGAGGTGGCCTCGCGTATCCTTCTCCTGGAAGGCATACCCAAGCGGCTGTGGATAAGATGCCGGGCAGACAGCCACCTTCTTGGGCGTGTACTCGGAGCGGTACATCGTGCCGCTCTCAAATGGTGCACTGCTCATAACAGCCCCGCCCTTCGGCTTGTAGCTGTGCATGGGGATCAGCGGTAGCGGCACGTAGTGCTCCCTGAAGGTGGTCATGTCTTCGAACTTGCCCAGCGACCGCTGCATCTGCTCGACGTGCTTGATCATGGGCTCGCGTTGGGCAGCCCAGGGCTTGTATGCCTCGCGCATGGTCGTGTGGCCGTCGAACGGCAGAGAGAGGCGGCGTTCGCGCGAGATTGGCCGCGCCAGGAGTATGCGCTCCTGTCTGTGCTGCACGTAGTCGTCGTGCGAGGTGGTCGTCGTGTCCATGGTACCCGCGGGCGGGTGATACACGGCCTGTTGGCGCACCGGCGGTGGCGACAGAGGCCACACCTTAAACTTGTCCTTAAACTCGGTGCTGTCATTGAACTTGTCATCGGAGCCCACCCTCACGTGCTCCGGCTTGAAGCTCTTCATGAGCTCCTGAGGCCCGAGCGACTGAAAGTCGCGGCGGAAGGTGGTGAGACTGTCGAATTGCTGCGTACTGGGCTTGTAGCGCTCGGGCTCGCGTACGAAGCGAGCCTCCAGCTGGTGAGGCACGTAGGCGGAGCGGTGCGTCGTCCTGTCTTCAAAGGCGCCTTCTGACGGCTTCACAACATTGGCTGGCTTGAAGCTGGTGCTGGGGCCGCCCTGCTTGGCATGGTAGTCGTCCTGGAAGGTGGTCATGTAGCCGTACTTGTTTGTTGATGGGACGTACGTGTAGTTGGGCTTGGCATTTTCACGCTTCAGAATCTCCCACTGCCTGTAGTCATCTATATAAGGCAAAATGCAAGTGCATTGTGTTTGTAATGCTTTTTGTTACAGAAACATACAATTTAATTAAATGTCAGTTTCAAGTATGATGGTAGTTTAAGCACTAATTATAATAATCAAGAATGTTTTACATTGCAATATTGAACCATTACTTTCAAGTATATTAATTCACTTACACACAATACAATTTGACAAATGGTACCAAAACAAATGGTTCATTCCATGCCAAATATATACAGTTTTCAGTGAAAATCTTATTTCTATCGATTTGTAAATTAAATCATTGATCATTAAAAATTACACTGCATGCTGTCACCACAGACGTTGATTTATTTTGCTGACGCTTGATAAATACGATGTTGCAATGCGCTCATGCTCCCATAGTACAGAAGGGGAGATTGTACTTTGGTAAGTTGGGATGGTGTCCATCTTGCCGTGCGCCTGGTGCTGGTTCTCCATGGGCCGGGCTGGCAGCACCAGGTGGATGGGCATCTCGTTAAAGTCTGTCTTGTAGGTCGTGTCCATGCTCATTGTGCCAGGCACAGGCTTGTAGGCCTCAACGGGGCGCATGGGACGTTTCCCGGCTTCGTAGGGAACGTAGTCAGCCCTGTCGTCGTCACAGCGATGCATTTGTCACATTGCGAACAGCCTCACACACCATCATCATCATCGTAGTTACTATCATTACAGATCTGCGCGGACACCATAAGCATTATCTATCAGGAGAATAATCAACAACGTGCTTAATCTTTGATCAGAAGCAGCATGATCCTCAATATTATCATTATCATTCCAACATTAATATACCATGCTAAATGTCACATACAAGCATGACTTTGTCGACAACAATCTTTGCGTTTCTGCATCCACATCAGCTATGTACAGCTAAGAGTACATGAAGGTAGCATTAGTGTTTAAGTGGTGGGAAAAACATACAGCAGTGCTACTGTTATGCTACCATATTATTGCACATGATTCATTTCTATAATTTAATATCTTACATCGTGACGTACTGACTTTGGTCGATAGTTGTTTTTCATATATAACCTGCATAATACTAGGGCTACAAATTAAACATACTAGCATTAACAGCTACCTGAACCTGTAATGAAAACAGATGTGCACAGAGGGGTGGGCACAATTGCGTCCTACCGAAAGGTGGTGATGCCATCCATCTTGCCTTGCGGTCCCTGATACATGTGCTGTGGGCGGAAGGACTCACGTGGTCCCCCAAGCCCATAATCGTGGTAGCGATCCACATACTCTGTGATGAGGCATGGCTTCTCCGTTTGTGTGTAGATGCCCGTGGGCTGGTGTGGGCAGCGGTGTCGCCTGTGCCGATGATGCCAGTTCATTAATTCACTCACTCAGTCCAGTGTGTGCTCATTCAAGTCAAAAGTCCGATGAAAGAGCTATTTCACAATTTTGGACATATGATCCTTATGGCAGTACCACGGGGTACCAAATATTACAAAATGGCCGAGGCAATGAAATATTTTATTTCTGGGACACTATTTTTTGCCAGGGTTGTACTTCACTCCGCGACTGGGGTACCAATCAATCCGAAATCAATGCCACACTCCGCGATGTCGAAACGCAGCGAGGACGATTGCGCTGAAACCCTGAACGCTCGTATGCACCATTGTGCATCGTGTACAGCTCGTCGAGATGAGTCGATTGCCACATCGCAGACCATCAACAGACTAAAAATGACTGCATCACGGACATTATGCGAGAGCCGGGGTACTGTGGAACCCCGGGGTACTGCCATAAGGTTCATATATTTACAAACCGGTTATCATCTGCAGAAACGAAGAAAAAAAAATCCCTCGGAATACTACGTCAATTACTTTCTTGATAAGAGAGAAATGCTCAATAAATATAATGGTGTCAGTTGTACTCACTGGAACTGACTTTTTAATATTGACTGCGAGTTTGGTTAATTTGTAAAACTACCTAAAAGTCAATGATTCCGCATTCCACATTTACATGGCAGTGAATGGTAGATTGTCTATAGAACAACCACTCCATACCTGTCATCGTACAGTTTTGGTCCAAGGACAGCAACTTCTAATTCAGTCACAACACAACTATGTAACTACAGTACACTATTAATAACAACACTCGTTAATTTACCCAAGAAACATTAACTTTAGTGTGAAGAATGATTCCGGTGGGTCCTGCTTTGGTTATTATTGATAGAGCATTTTTGCGTGTGGAAGGAAGCCGAACTGCCCAGAGAAAATGTAGGAATGTAAGGGCAAAACACCAACAATAAGTCAACAACCTACTTGCTGTACTCCTTCCACAGGCCACCTAGTAGCCCTTCAGCTGGGTGTCTCACATAAGATGATCCCCATATGATAGACACCCTTTTGCTTCTAAGTCGATCCTGACCCTGACACCTGTATTTTTTGAGTTAGCGTGTTCTCCCCGTGGTCAGGTGGATTTCTCTCCTGGTCCTCCGGTTTTTCCCTCCACGTTTAGAATCAACATGTGTGGAGAGTATATGCCACACGATGATAAGCCACTTCGTTGAGCTATCATTTGCGGCCAGGTCTCTTCTGAAAAAAAAGCTATACAGCTCAGTGAGCCTTAGTTGGTAAAACAGAAATAGTTTAGTTTTAATTTAGTTTAAATCACTGGGTTATAGGTGTGCACCACCACGTATGCAATTTCAAATCAATTTCGTAGGGAGTCGTTCAATACTATATTACCAAAACTGGCAAAGATTTGAAACAGAAATGAACCGTTAAAAGTGTTATGAATTTACATCAGTTCCTACGAGTGAAGATGGGATACAGCTCTGACCTATGCATGAAATATAAGTTGTGAATATTCTTTGGGTCTTTCGGTAAAGTCACGTAGTTAGGTTCAAAGAAAATAACAAACCTATCTACGTGACTTTACCGAAAGACCCAAAGAATATGAATTCCTGCAGGCACGAAAGCTTCAAGTCATGATTTATACGTTGTGAACAAGAAAATGTATACTGGAGGAAATGTGTACACAAAAAAACAAC